TAAACAGGGGCGTAGCCAGGATTTTTCAAAGGGGGGGTCACAGAGGCTACTCACCATTTACACCGCTGCTCTCCCGCGTGTATCAGTGGGCTCAGTCGTATTATCGCGGCATGAAGGCCCATATCAATGGCTTTTACGGCCAAGATATTGTCATGGCGTTTTCGCCACCTGAATATTGTAGGTTGTTTGCTCTAAAGGCGACCTACCAAGGGGGGTCACGGGCACCCCAGGACCCCCCGCTGGCTACGCCCATGCGTTGAACGTAACGTTTGAAAACTGGGGAATGTTACTCGGTGAATGTCACTCGATAGCTTGCGACTGACCAGGCCCTCGTTATTAGCGCTGCAGAACACGCCATTTTCCGCCCGCGGGAAGATCGGAGACGATTCGGGGAGAGGTTTCCCGGGGGTCACTAACTCCATGCCGACCTCTCGTGGCCTCGTGCTTTCCCGCGGGCGAAGAAATACTCGTCCCGAAGCGCTCATAAGGAGGGCCTGCTCACAGGCTGGTCACTCGCATATTTTTTTGAGTTATTGTGTCAGAGCGAAAAGATTTGTTGGACTGTCATCTTTTAAAAATATTTGTCAGTATTGAATCACAACTAATGACTATTTCATTCTTTCATTTTTGTGTGTGTATAGTTTCGCACTTGTCACCGCATCATCCTTTCTGGCTCACCCATGCAGAACAACTTGCGAGAACTTTGGTCCTTGTTTGACTTCGTGTTCCCTGGCAAACTTGGCACCCTGCCTGTGTTCATGACTGAATTCTCCGTGCCAATTACTATGGGGGGATACTGTAATGCCACTAAAGTACAGGTACTGACTCCAGCGAGGTAGACAGGGGGTCTTGGTCTCGCACATGCATCTTACGGTCATATGTAAACCGGCCTAGATAGTTGTCTGTAGATATTGTCTGTAGATATTGTCTGTAGATATTGTCTGTTTGCTTTCCTGAACAGATTTTTTGCTGGAAAGAATACTTCTTGCATAATCTGTCAATATTTTGGCACCTTTTAAAGCTTAATTTTTTTAAAACCTTTTTTACATTTGGAAAGTTAATTTGATCATATTTTACGTGTGTTTTACGTAACTTCTGATTATGACGATGAAATTACGGTAATGGTTGCCTCAAACACATTTTGGTAACCAGAAGCGTCGAATGTTAACTCTTTGTCACAGATGCTCTTTGTTTTATGCAAAGGTTGAAACAGCGTACAAGTGCGCCTGTGTCCTCAGAGATACGATCAATCCATACTTGCTGAGAAGACTCAAGAAAGACGTCAACATGAGCTTGGATCTACCAGCAAAGAATGAGCAGGTTTGTGGACTGCTAGTTACCATTCTTTCGCCGCCTTTTGCGTTAAGAGGGTCGTCGGTGACGTGCGCCCTGCATACTACTGTGATCAGCAATGTCGAAAGCGTCGTGTGCGAGCATAGATCGACTAAGATGGTCAATTTTGAGCTTTACTAAGGTTTGGTAGATTTATCGGTAATATGATGGCAATTCGAGCCATAAACCTTTGGCCTCATCTAATGTTTAATGACTGCTGCAATGCCGAAAGGTTTCCTGGTTGTTATCGTAATATTACCCTCTCTTGTGGTAAAAGAAACTGTAATTTCGATTAAAAAGCGATATATTTGAACAACAAATGCGCTCTCGTGCATTTGAAAACGCTGTATTTAATGCAACGATTCAATAGCCACAAGAAGTTTTTACAGATTTTTGGACGGTGCCTAAATTCTCTGCAGGTTAAGTCTCATTCGATACTTGAAGCTTTTTCGTATGTATCTTTACAGGTTCTTTTCTGTCGACTGAGTCAGGAGCAGCGTGAACTTTACCAGCATTATTTAGACTCTAAAGAGGTGCAGGCCATCCTAGCTGGTAACTATAAGGTATGCCTGGTGTACAATATTCCCTTTACAAGAAAGCTAAGCCTTAGTATCACGATCTGAGTGTGCGGAATACGCGCGGGAAATCATGTATGTAAACAGAGGACACGTCGATTGATGGTATGCATAACTACTGACTGGTGTAGATTGAATAAAACGAGTGTAACTTCAGATGAACCACGTAAATAGAATTGCATGGTGCAAAGTGACCAGACATTGCTTACGATGGGTGGATCGTAGTTCAGCGTTGATGAGAGCTATTTAAACATTTCAGTCCATGGTTGTGTATCGCTTAGGTTCCATCAAAAGAAGGCTCTCTAGGTTTAAAATCCTCAATCCTTTTTTATCTTCCTATAACTTAACCTTTCAAAATCAAATAAGGGAAACAGTGTATCTATATTGTATAATAGGTCTAGGCAAGAGAAGATGTGAGATTCCTTGTTATTTTTTTTTATCGAATTTTCATTCGTGTTTGGACTGATCAATTTTGTGATTCTGGTACTGGTAATCAGTCCTTTGTAACATTTTTTGATGGATTTGATAAAACTGAAAAATTATTTGATGATTTCATTTTCTCTGTTCATTATTTTAGGTATTCCCTGGTCTGATTATGCTGCGAAAGATTTGTAACCATCCTGACCTGACATCAACAGCAGGCTCCCTTCTCAAAGCCAAACAGGATGCTCTCAAAGCTGAACTAGGGGGGACGGCTGAGGAGGACGAACCCGACCCTGATGATGGATATGGGGACCCCAGACGGTCTGGAAAGATGATTGTTGTCGAAGCTTTGTTGAAGATGTGGCAAGAACAGGGACATAGAGTGTTGCTGTTTTCGCAGACAAGGCAGGTTAGTGAAAAAGCTGCAGATCCAAAATGGCAGTCGTTCGTATTTGAACTACTTGAGAAACTCCTACAACACGACAAGATTTGAGCGTTGTGTAGAACTCACTTTGCACTCGGATTGCATTTCTGAATCATACAGACAACAGCCTCCATCTGGCACAGAAATGTGCCCGGATATTTATCCGTGTTCAGTATCTGTTCAGAGAAAGGTAAAATTTCACGAGAGCGAATCTTGAGGAAAACAGCGAGCCTAGACGAACACATGATATTCAAGAAAAATATACAAGCATACTTTTAAGTCAATTTCATTATCCTCCTACTAATTTTTTGTAAATAGAATACGAAAGGTTGTGAGTTTTGAGCTCAGTAAAGAAATAGAGAAAGATGTTTTTAGTCTCATCACGAGCGTGGAACAAAGAAAAATTCTAAGTCCCCAGGACGATATCGATATTGCCGATTCTGAGTTCCCCGTGACGCTATCGACATTGCCGATCCTAGCAGTGTACAGGACGTGTGTCATATATGAACTTCGTAACACGCTTTGCTCACCTCGGAGTCTCTGTGGCTCCGTCAGTGGTAGAGCATCGGAGCGTGGAATCCGAAGCAGCTCTGAGGTTCGATCCCTCGGAACAAAACATTTGTAAGCAGCTAACCATTAAAACGGTAGTTGACAGTTCAGATCGACTTTATAACATACTACTTCGTCGTTTCTTCTGTAGCCTGCAGTGCGGCCGTCTCATTAGGGCGAGTTAGCGTTACAAGCTCGCGATCGTTTATTTGACCAGCCGTGTTTGCTTTAGATAAATTTTGGATGGGGCATATCTGGAAAGGAATCTTGTGCGAGCGAATATATTTGATGTAATGAACTCTTATGTAACGAAGCCCTACGGCGAAGCATGCCAATTCTTGCACATGTTCTTTTTTCCCTTTTCTTTTGTACAAGGGTGGGGGCACCCTTGGATATCCATCTGGGTTAGCAGCTTGCGCAGCAATATGTAGATACATAACTCGATATTACCGGCAAACTCCGTCAACGAATACATTTTGCCATTCCCTGAGCACTCTGTTTTAACCGGAGTTTCGCCAAAGGGTATACGCTCTGTATCTCTGTGCATTAGAGCCGTACGGTTCATAAGGTAGATTATGAGTCGTAACTTTCTTTTCACCGAGTGTCTGTGAGGTAACACTTACAATTAAACCTGGTGCGGAATTGTTCTTTCAGATGTTAAATATCCTTGAAAAGTTTGTGAATGCCAGGGGCTACACATACTTCAGACTAGATGGTTCGACACCGGTGGCGTCCCGTCAGCCTTTGATCAAAAACTTCAACGAGGTACACCTTGTATAGCGGTTTAAATAGCTTAGCACCAAACTTAAGTACACCGACGTATCGTTTTCAGTCCGTGCTTCATGATGGTTGTCTTGATTCCGATTTAAAATGATTCATCAAAGAACATTTGTGAAGATGCCACACGAAGTTTATTGCGAAAAAAAAAAAACAACAAAAAAAAAACATGTCTATATTAGGTGCAATCTCGCTAGTTAACATTATTCTAACAGCATTCTTCCTCTTCGTGTTAGGATCGTTCAATTTTCGTGTTTCTTCTCACCACTCGTGTTGGCGGGCTGGGCGTCAATCTAGTGGGCGCAGATAGGATTATCATTTACGACCCCGATTGGAACCCCAGTACTGACACGCAGGCACGAGAACGAGCCTGGAGGATCGGACAGAAGAAGGACGTCACCATTTATCGCTTGATCACAAGTGGAACGATAGAGGAGAAAATCTATCATCGGTAGGATTATTAAGATAATTTTTTCTTCTTCCTTTTTCTGTTTTTTTTTTTTTTTCCTTTTTACGAAGAGTTTATCAGACGACATACCTTGAATCAAAGATGTAAATAGGGACGACGTAATCATTAGCACATATACAAGACGTGCTTGCCTCAGTCGCACACGGTCACACGCAGGTTCTAAGTGCTTATGCAGCATTAATGTGCCTATGTCATAGGTGAAAACTGTGCAGTGAAATAGAGTCTTGTAAATAGAATAAGTAAGATGGTAAGTTTTGAACTCGGTAAAGAAATAGAGAAAGATGTTTTTTCGTCTTGTCACTAGCTTGGGCCAAAGAAAAAAAATTCTGAGTACCCGTGCGGATCGAACCTAGACCTTTGGATTCAGCGCTCTGATGCTTGACCAATGGGCTGTAGACTCTATGGTGAGCAAGGCTCATTACGAAGTTCAAATGTGACACGCGTCATGCATACAGCCAGGATCGGCAAATAGAGTCTATTCAAATAAAGCTGTCGAAGACGTGACATTTGTGACGAAACCCGCTTTGCCACTGTTGACAAAGAATGTTTTCTTTCCGTCTGCAGGCAAATTTTTAAACAGTTCCTTACCAATCGAGTTCTGAAGGACCCCAAACAACGCAGATTCTTTAAATCCAATGATCTTTATGAGCTCTTCACATTGGACAACTGTGACGTCAAATACGGCACAGAAACAAGCGCCATTTTCGCTGGGTCAAACTGTGAAATCAAATTGGGATCGCGTCGAAGGAAGAAAAAGGAGGCCAAAAAAACAGAGACCGTGAAGCATCAAGCTGACAAAAAGGAGACAGAAAAATCGAAGAAGCCAAAAATAGAAAGGGATGAACAATTTAGTGGAGGTGCATTCTCGATCGATTGGCGGGACATAGCTGAAACACAAAGCTTGTCACAAGATAAAGATTCAAAGAGAGAAGTTCAAGAAGCATCGAAGGAAGTTGACGAGGTGAAAACTGTCGGTGAGAAAAGCTCTACTCAAGATTGCCTAATTGACGAGGAAAAGGGAAGTAAAAGTGGAGAAAAAGATGGGGTTGTGAACGAATACTTGGCAGCAAAAGCTGCGTTAGTCGATTCTAACGGCTTAGACAAGGAAGAATCTACTTTAACGTCTTCAAAACGGGATGAAGCGCACATCCAAGACCAAACCGCCAAAGAATCTGAATCACTAAAAGGAGAGAACACGGTAACAACTGCAGACAATGGCAGTATTCCTAAGGAAGATAGCCAGGGAGGCCTTGAAAAAGTAGCTGGTCGCGCTTTGAAAAAAGGAAAAAAGAAAATTTCATCCTTGAGCGATAAAGAACTTACAAAGAAAGTTAAGCGAACAAAAAAGAAAAAAAGAATGAAAAGGAAACGTCAGGGAGGACGTAAGTAAAACAATCTGATTTAAATTTGAAACCAAATTGCTGGTTAGATAGCATTTCGATTGAGTGTCGTTGAACCAAAGTCAGAGTGATCCGCTGAACAATCAGTCAGAAGTTAGCAACTAAAACACGAGTGCCAATCAGAATTCAAAGTAAAATTCGAAGACTCAAAGCGCGGGAAAACGCAGCTGAATAAAACAAGATTGGTTTTTGTTTTGCACCTGATTGGTTGAGCGGTTGGCACGAGTTTTCTGGATAATCACTTTGTTCGTGTGATTTGCCGTCAATGAGAATTTAGTTCCTCTCTGGCTTGACCCTTTTTGCCTTTTTGCATCTCGATGTTATTTCTATTGTTATCTGTCTGTATTATTATTATTATTATTATTATTATTATTATCTTATTATTTAGGCAAATGAAGTTATTATAAATAAATTTGCAGTAATTGACGGTAAACACATCGATCATCTGGATCACAGCGAAATCTACAACCCAGCGAATACCAGTCAGTCAAGTGCAGAGGAAATGGAAGAACAGAAAAAGCAAGGCACTCACCAGGACGAGTTTATTCTGAAGCATCTCTTCAAGAAATCAGGTTCGGATGTAGTTTTGTTCTCACTTTAGTTCTCTTGATAGTTGAGACGACAATTTTTTGGTCTAAAATGTGGACATTATGATTAGTAGAGCAAATTGTTCTCGTGGAGACTGTGGCTAGGCAACAAGACGTCACTCTGACGTTTGTCGATCCTGGCTAGTGCTCATCCTATTGGGCGAGTTGTTCTCAGATGCTTTCACGAAGATTTGCCAAATCCGCAGATAATGCGGTAGAAATTTAGTGCGGGTATATCTTGCTATTTCTTCGGCAAGTAAGTTCTTCAATTCGTTCGTCAAAGGACAACTTTATTCGGTCAACTCAAATTTGGTCTTAAATTGAAATGTTATATTTCTTTACACTGTAAGGGGAGGAAGAGAAATTGATGGTTTTTTCGGTTTTATCCAAATTACAATTTGGGTAAAGATAGACACGGGTGAGACACAGAAGTAGTGAGTACTGTACCTCACTCCATTTAGGAGTAGAAATGGTGATTGGTGAACTGAAATGCTATAGAGTTACCTTTACTGGACTAACATCCAGGGCGAATAACTTCATACTACGAATTCCTAGGCTCAATAAAGACTTCGCCTTTTCTACCTTTTTCGATAGGTGTACATAGTGCGTTAAAGCATGACGTCATCATGGAGGCCAGCAACCCGGATTACGCACTGATTGAAACCGAGGCAAACCGTGTGGCGGAACACGCCGTGAAAGCGCTGAAACGATCACGTCAGTTATGTCATCGTGCAAACAGAGGTGTTCCTACGTGGACGGGTGTGTCAGGTTCATCTGGTTTGACGGAACCAGCAGCAAAGAGGTATCTTTATTTAAGGACTGCATGAGGCAGACACATCTAACCAGTAGCAAATACACTTTATGACGTAATTTGTCTCTCAGATATAGGAGAAAAATATGCCACTTAAGTGGGTGGGAAATGAGTGCAACTGATGAATAGCACGTGAAAATAAAGAATCAGTGGTAAGTATAAATGGGGCTCCGCTGCGAAACGCGCGCACTGTGAGCTCTGCTGTAAGTGGCAAGGTGGAAAATGTGGAATAGAGCCAATCGCTGAAATTTTGCATTGATGCCAGGTGATGCAAAATTCGCCTACACTGGTCGCTCGTCTTGTAGGGTGTTGAAGTTAAAAGTATTTATTGGTAAATATTTTCTGTTTGGATTAGGCCACGTTTTGGACAGAAGAAGAAAGTCGGTACAGAGGAAGCTGCAAAGGTGAGAAGTTAACTCTGAATAGTTTTTACACTCATACGCGCTCTCTCTCAATTAAGATTTCAAAGCTTGTAATACTTCTTTGTGGTTAACAGTCCTCCTCTACTTCGGAAGTCAAGCCTCACTTCAGTGGCGACCAAATGGGAATGAGCAGTACGTCGGCAGATGGCACGGAACCAGTGCACTCCAGTCAATTGCTGGCGAAGATGAGGGCTCGAAACAACATTTTGCCTAGCAACGAGACAGGGCCTGGAAACGAGAATGACGACTTAATTCTCCAAATAAGGACTTTCATTGCGTCACAAGGAACAACGATAGGACAAGCGACTACTCAGGAAATCTTAGACGAGTTTCGTTCTAAACTCCCATGCAATGAAACTACTCTGTTTCGCTCCATGCTGCGACAAATTTGTACTTTTACAAGGGATTCGTTAACTGGGAAAGGCGTCTGGATTTTAAATGAAGAGTTTAGATGAAGTAACAATTTTTCATATTTAGGGAGGAAAATGTGTATGCTCTTTAAAGTAGTGGAAATGGTTGATCGCTGTTCTTAAAGGAGGAAGTCTCGATTAAAAGATTAAACTGTCTCCTGCCATTCCAACTTTTATACACTATAAAGAATTTATTTCCATTGACTGTGGAGAATAATTTTGTTGTTTTTCCCCACTGGCTGGATTTAAGAATATTAACCTTGAAAAACTGATCAGCAACAGAGGCCGCTAACGAAAATTTATGACTTTAGAAGGTTCGCCATGCCTGCTCCCGAAAAGGCACAGAATTGGCTGCTGAAGAAGGATGTCTCTGACTAAGTCTTGAGATTTCAAGATAACGAAAGTCGCAGAAATTTGCAATATCCTCAAAAAAGACGAAAAACCCAATGATGGGTTAACTGGCTCGAAGATGTCAGTTAACATGTAATAATGCAATCTATAAAAATGAAGCAAATTACAAGAGTCACGTTAGATTGTGTTTCGTCTTTGTTTCTTTGAAGTCGGCTCTATTTTAATGCTCCCGAAGACCTACCTGAGGTACAAAAATAGAAGCTGTAACCAAGAGAAACTCCAAGGGATGAGCAGACCTTGGGATTGGCTGAGCCAGATGGTATTCTTGTCCTTTTATGGGCATTGTTCGTCTTTATTAGTGATAAAGAATATAACACAACAGATAGCTAAGCCTCAAGTGTTGAGATCTTAAAATAAGATGGCGGTCTCGAGCTGAATTAGAAGAATTATTGATATTATAAACTCAGTGTAGATAACAAAAAGGATAGAAAGTTGCAGGCGGAGCACTTTTGATAGGAGCTACTTTAAGTCAGCGTTTAAGGTAATATAACTATTTTAAGACTTAGCTCTTTTTACAACTTTAAAGCAAAAGCCACATGTTTAAATGGCCCATGGGAAGCAGAGTAAAGAAAAATTACATAAGTGGAAAATAAGACTTTTAAGTAAGTTGTAAGTACGAAATGTAGCAAGAAAACTCAACTTATGTAGTCCATTGACAAGAAACAAACACAAACGGTCCCATAGAAATGATAATAATGTTAATAATCACAATAATATTAACTACATAAATAGAAGATAGACGACAATTATATGTAGGTAGTGGTAATGAATATGAAACTAAGGGATCATTCAAATATAAGAGTTCAGTGGAGAATTACGTTATCCTTTGTTGTAATAAAGTTACGCTGCGAAAAAAGAGTCCTTAATCCCCTCTCAGTGGACCTTTCTATCGGTGCCCTTATAAAATCTCATCCCTAAACGCTCACAATATATTCAAAGTGCATATACCAATAACTTTATAGACAGTGCGAGTATAAGAGATAGTCCAGGGGGTCTGGACCACCGTCCCCTCTCTTCTGCATCAGACCTTTTTTCCTTTATGACCTGACATTAGACATTCGCATGTTACCATTAAATATGAAGTAGCTAAAATTTGCTTGTCTCGAATTATTTCTTGGCCTATTAGGCTTTATTGTACGTAAAAATAAATTGAATCAAATTAAGTTTCAGTGTCTTCAGTGGACTCCACCATTAAAAATGCAAGGGTCGGCCTCTCTCACCCATTAGCTCATCTGTTCTTCTTGTCATCTGTAAGATATCTCACTGATGCATTGCAAATTTGAGGGTCTTTATGAACTGACGATCTTTATGAAAGAAGCTTAGAATGGGTTTCCCTTCAGAAAGAAACTGGTGTTTTTTCCCGCTAAAACCTTGACCGTTGGGTAGACTGGTAACGGGGGACCGTCACACTGTGAACAAGATGGCGGCTACCGATACTCCTACTACGGTTTGTATTTCTTTAAAATTCTTGTTTGCGCAAAATTTTGCGAACGACTTTTCATGATACTTTCTGATGTATTGGTCATTTTAATGTACAATTTATGGCTATATCTGCAATAATCTGGTCTTTGTAACATAGACGATAGTGCATGCATGTGCTCTATCGACCGGTGTGAGCTGACAAGTGATTAACGCTCAAGAACTTACCGAATGTGGTCCAGATTTTAGAAAATGTTGTCCTAAAAGAAGAGAAATCGTTGATATCGCCGACTCAGGAAGTCTTTAGGTACTATTCCTAACAACTTATGTTGTAACTCTGGAAACGTGAAAACAAGCGAAGAAGTTCTGCTGCTCGCTTGTTAATATCTTTTCAGAAAAGGGAGTGTGTCAGATGTGTTCCCCGTTAGATCGCTTATTCATGTTTTTAAGGAGAACCTTAAAGAAAATTGTGAATGTCTTACCAGCCAAACTAGTTACTCTAAATTGTGAAAGATTTTGTGCCCGTTAAGTCATCTGATTTTGCTAACGAACATAGCACGCTTGCCTCGTGTGTGTCCGCTAAGCTTATGCCTAAAATGCACTCCACTCCAACATAAATGCTGTTTTACTGAGAAATCCATAAGAGGGTAGCCAAGGAGGAGGTCCTGATCCTGTTTCGTGCATGAATTTAAGAAAAATTCCCAAGCCAGATGTACCGTTTCTTTAAACAGCATTTCATGCATCACAATTAAATTTAAAAGGGAAAACTTCAAATCTCTGTCTACATGCCTATCCGTAAAATTCACACATTAGGTATCAATTCTGGGCATAATTATACACTGCATTTCAACTCTTTGACACCTTGTCATCACTGGCCATTCCATTGAAAAGGTGAAGCTAATTCTGATGAAGTGATCATTTTTCACCATTTGTACAGGAAATTCCAGGAGGTTGGAATCTCACTGGACACTGGGCACCAGGAAGTGGAATACTTGTTCACACATCAGATAGCCAATTAAGTAAGATTATGAATGGCATTGTTTGCCTGCACATCTGTGGTCACCTTGTGTAATGTGTCATCCTCACAAAATCAGATCAAAATTTCCAACTGTCAATAAAAGCTGATTGGAGTTGTAATTTCAGCAAGTTGTATCAACAGTCAGATACATGTAATTTACTTGTAATTATCTATACATTGTATTTCCCTGACAGCCAAATGCAAGTCACCTTTTATAAAAAAGCTGTCCTGTTTTAAATTTTTAACAAATTCCACCATCTAAGTCAAGTAGTGCTATGGTTTCAAGCGTGAGCGTGGGAAAGTTCCTGACACGGGCCAGTGTTCTTCAGCTCTGTTGGATTAATGATAGCTAACGAAATATTTTGGTAAACAAGAATCACATGATTTGACTTTGAATCACATGGCTAATCCTACCAGAAATCATGTGACCCCCCAGCAAGTTATCAAAACAGCTTGTTATCCTTGCTCACGGGGTGACTGCAGCTCCTCTTTCTTAACCAAAAAACAGTTCTAACAAACTGTCAGGAGGTGTAAAATTGTGATGGAATCTTGATCTTGTGGTTATAGCCCATCTCTGTGCACCAGTAGACTTAAACCAGGTATCATCATGGTGATACTGATGACAACAGACTCTTGCATACAGAGAACATTACTTTGTAGTCAATTATAGTGCCCTCTAAAGTAAGCAACTACATGAAAACTTTTGTACATCTAATGACATTTTTTGACTTTGTTTTAAAATTGTCGATAATTGTTTTATGATTACTTCATCTTTCCCTTTCAGGAGTTTCTCAAGAAGCTTCAGTGCACTGCCAGAATCCTGTTCTACATGAGGTCCATTGGGGAGCAGATTTTCAAAGTTTGATAACTCGCAAATTGATCAATGAAACACATGGTAATGAAATATTACTGAGATGGAGACCTTGTCTAATATTTCTGTTTGTTTACAGGGTTCGACACTAACGTTTCAACTTACCAGTCAGGTGGCTTGTGACATCTTTGATGTTACGACAATTTCAGTTTGTTTACCAGCCAAACTGGTTAGTGGAAATAAAAACCACCAGCCAAAACTGAATTTCTACTAGTCTGTGGCTAGTGGGCTACCATTAGTGTCGAGCTCTGGTTTAATAGTAGCAAGAAAAGTATTGTTTCAAATTACTATATACATGTACAACTGGTACTCTAGATCTGTTTGGGAAAAAATTTCAATTTATTGTCTTTCATAGAACTGATACTGATGATAAACAAATTAAAGTTTATTCAATAATGAGTTTTAAACATTTTTTAATCTTGCAGGGCTTGGTAACAAAATAAATATTAGGAAATTACTGTAAATTATTCAATTGTGTTAAGGATTAATTACCAATTTAAGGAGTTAGTTGATGAAATGTGACTTGAACTGTATTGCTAAATCAAATGGTTTTGGGTTAAGAATAACAAACTTATATAATTAAAATGAACAGCAGTTGTTTTAGGTTATTACCTTCTCTAGAAAATGTTGAAATAGATCTGAGAATAATGATAGATACTAAAGAAAGCCAAAATGTGTGAGCATAGAATAATTTTGTTGTATCCCTACATCCTAGCCATTTTTATGGATCTTCAGCATGTTCCTGATTCTGGAGGAACAGGGAGAAAGGCAAGGTACACTATTGGCAGTCAGTTTACTACACTTCAGGGCTCAACACTAGCTTTTCAACTTACTAGCCAAGTGGTTAGTGACATCTTAGATGTTTTTAGATGTTATGACAATTTCAGTCTGTTTACTAGCCAAACTGGCTAGTGGAAATTGAAAACCACTAGCCAAAACTACTAGTCTGTGGCTAGTGGGTTACTGTTAGTGTCGAGCTCTGCATTTTCTTACCACAAGAAAAAATTAGTGAAGAAACTTTGTCCATTATTATACAATTAATCATAACTATTACAATTTCCTAAATTGTGATTGGTGCATTAGCTGCTTTATTTTTTCCTAATTATTCTGTAGAGTTGTAATTGGACAGTTAAAGCAGCCAATTATACTAAGTCCACTTAGCTAAATCCACCAATCACTATTACTTGATTACAATAACCATAGCAATAATCACTTACCCTAGAAAACTGGAGAATTTCCAAAATGGAGGAATTTGCAAATAATTTTTTTTCCAAAATTTTAATGCTTGTGTAATGGAAATGTTTGAGTCGATCACATAGCCTATATTAGTATCCAAGTTGAAAATTTCAATAAAAAGAACGAACTCATCAATTACTTAGACTCTGTGAACTTTCTGTGATGAAAATATTTCTTCCCTGTTGGAATATTACTATATTTATACACTTGGACTATATTTTTACAATTCACAGCTTGATAAAATTCAGTAGAAGATACAGAAGTGTAGTAAGGGCATGTATCTTGGACCTGGAAGAAAAGTCTGGTATGTTACTTGTTGTTTGGTGATGAAAACCAGTGGCACCAAACAGGCAATGCAACCCTCCTTGATTACTTTATATTACTCGTGGTACTCACTGCATTTGCTTGTATAGTGTACTAGAAATTCATTTTGTTCTCTTTTGTTCTGTTACCAGATTTAGTTTGACATGATTGTTGTAGGTAGTATAGGCCATTTTACAGTTGTATACTTAGTTGCCAAGCCTTTGATTTGGGGTGAGGCTGTTCAAGGCCACCTTGTTGCAATGAAGATCAGTATCTAGTTAGTGTACTGACAATTTGAAAGTAATTACATTTGAAAAGCAGCAATGTCTGTATCATAACACAGTCACTCTTAGCCTCACTCCTGTTCAAAGGTTTGGAAACCAAGCATGCAACTGTAGAATGGACTATTCCTTGAATATTTTTCTACATGTATCTATTCTTACTCGCAGTCACTTTTTGGATAAAAAAAAATCTTGGACAAAACTGTTGTAAACTCATGATTTTCATGTAATATCATCAGACCAATTTTTTTTTTGTAGTGAAACAAAGTGTAAGTTCAATATCAGCTGCTTTTAGCACTTACAAAAAGCTGCCAAAGCTATGTGGTTGCTAACTGTTTTTACTGGTTGCCCCCATTCATTTTAGATTCAGAAACTTTACCTCTCACTGTTTCTTTATTTCATTTTCTTTAACCCTTTAAATCCCAAAAGTGATTAACATGTAACTTCTCTCTACAATACCCATACATTATACTGTAAACAGGTAGTGAGAATACTCAATTACCTAATCAGGTAGAAGCTGTTATCATGATATAACACCAAAATTAATTCTGGTGACTAATATACACAGGAATGTGTAGCAGCTCGAGGGGAGAAGTAACAATCAGATCATGGTAGTTAGGGGAGAAAGGCAAACTGTTTTCTTAATGAAAACCTCATATGACATGCATACTCTGTCATTATGAGAGTCAATTGAAATATCTTCAATGCAACAAATTTTGCTTTATTTTTAAGATGCTAGTGAATCTCTTGGTGATTCAAGGTTCAAAGTTCCACCTTCTTCTGCTTCACAAGTATGTACATAGTGTTATACTGTACCATTAAATATGGTCAGTTTGGTCTGATTTGCATTGTAAACTTAAACATTGTACAAAGTATATCAAACATTAAAGAATGCATTTCATTACATTTTCTCACATAGAGAGATAGGAGTGAAGACTCTGTGCATTGTAAATCAAAACTGAAGCAAAGAGGTTATGGAGACATTGAATCATAAGAATCTATGCTAATTAAGATCATATTGTCAAACCATCATAAACAGTTATTGTGTTTCCTTTGAAACAACTAATTTTTTTGTTAGATGACACCCATTTAGCACTACCTAGCTTTATCATTCATTTTGGTTGTGTTTTGTCAATAAGTGTTTTTATCTCATGACTCGGGCAGTCAGAGGGCCAATAACTAAAATCAACCAATCAAAATGCTCTATTGCCGGTCAATATTCTCTCAGTATTGGACCAGGCACTGTCCCGAATGGTCCTGAATGAAACTGCACTTGTGTCCCTTTCAACTTTAGTTGTATAATAAATCTCTTATTAACCAAGCTTGCTCTGGACCGTACTGGAAGAATATCGGCCCTCGGTCTTTTTTGTATGGACCTCGCTGCACTTGGTCTGTACTGTCAAGACCTCAGGCCGATATTCTCCCAGTACGGCCCTTGCGCTTGGTTAATAAGATATATAGATTATTATTGTCTTGTTTGCTTTCCAGCGGCAGCTACTAACAGTAATAGAGACTGTCTGGCATCTCTGTGAGATACTGTTTATTGAAACATTGCCTGGTAAGAGGAGATGTAGAAGTGACTGAAATATTAAGGCCTATGAGGGAACCTCCTTTTAAAGTGCAATGTGTTTGCTCAGTTAAATAATTGAAGAATCTGCTACAAGATAGAGACTTGTTGCTCTATACATAAGTGACAGATTTAGGAATCAGCTTCGAGGTCAAGATGCCTGTGTAGGCCAGCTGTATGTAGAGTAAATTCAACTTTATCCAAAGCTAGACTCTAAAACAGATTGAGGGTGAATTAGATTGGAGACAAAGCCAAATTCAACACCTGGGCTGGGTTCTTCAAAGCTAGGTTAAGATAGCCTAGGTTTAGAGTAAAATTTGATCTCAGATGAGGAAATTCAGTTTAGTTCTTTTTGTCTACAATTTGATGATTGAGTGCTCTTTAAACAGTAGGGTATATTATCCCAAGGCAGGTTTCGAATAGAGAAATATAAAAACCTGGATGGAATTTTAACCCTGGGTTAGCACTAATCGGCCTTCTAACAACTGGGCTAAGAAGATTAACATACCATGATGCTGGTACAGAATTATGATTTCAGACTATGGGTTTCTCTTTGACTCATTCATTGCTTAAAAGGTATTTTGCACAATTTCTGCCACACTATGACACTATGATGTGAATGCAAGACTATCCACTTTTGTTTCTGAATCAAATGTTGTTGCTTAGGGAGAAAATTAACCAGCACTAATTATTCTCCATTAGGAGGAGCTGTTTTGCATCATTTGTTGGAGTGGGTTCAAAATGGGCATGCAGAGAGGTATATTAGAGAGGTACTACAACATCCACAGCCTTATGACAGCCCTTCATATTGGCCAGCTGTAAGTAATGTTTTTGCTCTTTTAACTAGAGTTATGCCCATGCATTAAAATTCCATTTTGTTGCTTGCATTTTACAAAAAGGGGCTCTCTGCTTTCCCCCTCAGATCTACTCTCTGGTTCTCCAAGGGCGTGTTAATGATGTGCGTGAGCTGCTTGCTCAGCATCCTGAAAGACAAGCAGGAGAATATGATGTTAGTATATTTTGTTTTAGCATATACCATGCCAGTGAATAGTGAATTCACCTCCAAACAGCCATGAGTTAAAATTACATGTCAAGCGTTTAATTTCTGACCATTTTCAGTATATTGAAACATCTGGTATCTGTGTGGTATATACTAAAACCAACTACAAACATAGAAAAGTGGCTTTATTATAAACACAAATGAGATACCAGGTGAGCTTTCATGCAAAAATGTGATATCTTCACACCTGAAAATAACATGTAATCTTCTCACATGAAGTGTGGTTTTCCACTGGCTGAGGGATGAAAGAAGCGGAAAACGTTTTTCCCACATCCAGCTGGGAGAATGGGTTTGGAGTGTGTGGGGGGTCTCCAGGTCACATGGCATTTCAAGGCTCAGTTCAGTTGTTTTGTTGCCTTCCGCCATTGCCTGACCTTCCCCACCCAACCACCCTCCATATGTTTTTAGGGATATAGGATTTCAAGTAGTGTCTTAGTTTCAGTTATTCGTGCATGTCAGTCTTGTGTATCTAGGCTCAGTTTCAGCTGTTTTATTATTGTTGTAACCCTAATGGTTCATCATGTTGATATAATAAAGGTCGGGCTGCATGGTCGGCTTTGCATGGCTCCCAGTTGTGTGTAAGAAGTAACCCCGTTACTATGGTTACTTAATAAATCACTCCTTTCACAGCAAAAGTGAAATGGTTTGGTATTTCATTGGTGTTTTTATAATAAGTTGAATATTACATTGGTTGCTTGGAGATATGAAATTGCCCTTGTTTTGAAAATTATTTCACTCATTGGCTGAAAGCAGGGCATACTCTGGCACAGTCATGTCTTATCCTCTGTTTATGACAATTATTATTAGTGTTGTTTATGTTCCCTGTTAAATGTCACATAATACATTTAGATAGAAAAGATGGTAAATTTTGGGCTTGATTATGAATAAACTAAGAAAGATGTTATTTATTTGTCACAAGTGTTGGACAATGAAAAAAGTTAGCCTGTGTACAGGCTCACATCTGATTGAATGGGGAGCCTGTTCACAGGCTGGAAAAAAGTCTGAGTTTCCCTCAAGGGATATGAACCTTAGACCTGTGAACCCCTTGGTTTGTTGCTCTATGACTGAGAGCCATAGAGAACTCAGTGGTAGCTGAGGTTGTGCATTAGGTTTTGGGTGCACCTTGTACTGAATCACTCATTCACTCACTCCAGCATTGGACTCACAACAATTGTGGTGCCTTGTTGTCTTTTCTTTGCAATAATTCAGTCAGGCAATCAATCAATTGGTCAATTAATCAGTCACCACATGTAAGGCCATCAATCAGTTAATCTGACAGTCAGCAAATCAGTAACATAAATATACTTTTATTTATTTAGCTTCTCATGATTTGGGTATACCCAGTCCAGTACACATGTATATAATTCTTTTTTAAATTGTTTCAGGAGTTTGCAAGTATGGATGAACTTCTTCACAAAATGCCCATGTATCAGGTATGTAATGCAAAATATACACAGTTCAGTGATGACTGCATGTGAAATAACCTGAAATCAATTCACTAGATTTCAAAGAACACCCAAAAATTGTATACCTGTACACTGTAGACCAGTCAGATTTGGTTTGTGGCTCACAAAATTTCTTGGTGTTCTCCTCACATCACTGTTGAGCTATTACACTGGTAAACTGATGAGAAATACACACTCTTGCTCAACTCTTCACACCCTAGCATCAGTATGCATATTCTCCATACTGTTCTCCATATGTTTCCTAAGATGCAGACAAGGAGAATTTATTTAACAATCAAGAGCCTCTTAGGTTGGTGATCATACATTGGTGAACATATGTGTCATTTTGGGGTGAATTGTAAGGAGACATTAGTCACTGACACTCTTAAGGGCTCAAAGGGTCATGTAGGTGTTATCATTCCTCTTTAAGTCTTTCAAGGTACATGGTGTATGTTTAATCCCCCACTCCCCCCCCTCCCACATTATTATTCCCTCTAGCTATGGGCGGTATCATCATCATCATCATCGTCATCATCATCTTTATTTAAACACGGTAAAATACATCAGGCATTAACAGTTTAATATAGAAGCTACAACTAATTACAAAAAACTATGTATACTATGTATAAACTATGTTTATTAGTGTAATTTAAAATATTACTAACTATTACAGAAGGTAAGTTAAATTAAAGCCTGTTTTACATGAATGCTGTGTCAGAATTAATTAACAGTCATAGGAAATTAGCCAGAGATGTTGCTTGCTTGCCTAGCAGCTGAGGGAAGGCTGTTCCAGAGGATTACACCACTATAGCCAAAGCTATTTTTATAATAATTAGTACATGGCAAGGGAATAGCAAGCTATCTTACCTAATTCCCCTTTGCTTTATGTACATTTTACATCACATCTGTTACTGTTACTTTTCTGTAGTTGTACATGGGACAGAGCTTGGCAGAGTTCACCATGAAATGGAGTCATTGGCAACAGGAGTGTAAACATCGTCTAGATGATCAAACATACGCTGGAAACGCGCATTTGCAAACAATTTGTCGGGTATGATCTTGATAGGAGAAAATTTCACTGCCGCATGATTATAATAAGGTAGACACTGATAAAATTGTTAACTGAAGAATTATGAACATGTAAAGATGACAGGGTGGATAGAATGTAAGATGTGAAACCTTTTCACCCTTTCACTCCAAAGGTCTCATTAGTAATTCTCCCTACTATCTGCTAGACATTTCTTGTGGTGTGAGTTTGGAGAATTTGATATTGGATCAACTAATCATCCCATAATAATTATTGATATGACTTGTTTCTTTCTTCTCATCACTTGTCTGCTTGATATTGTGTTGATATTATTGTAAGGAGAAATTCTGTCTTGATCACTCATGAGGATTAACAAGTTAATGAGTTAAAATAATAAATAAATAATAAAAATAAATAATAATTTAGCAATGGACATTCCATTGGCTGGCTCTTCTTGTCCACTGTTCTGGATCGAATTGGAATTTGAGATGTTGGTTTTTGCGGAGGGAGGAAAACTGGAAGACCCGGAGAAATACCCTCGGAGCAAGGAAGAGAAGGCACTTACTGTAGTGGCTCAGTTGAATTCTCTAAAGTATTCGTGAATATCAGCTATGCCACTAACTTTGTGTACTAAGTTTTTAATTTCTGTTTTGTCTTGTATCTTTGCAGGTACTTTGTGGTGAAGAACAAGTATTTGATGAAATGATGTAAGTCACAAGTACAGTACCAGATGTTAACTTTTCTGTAGTGTGCAAGTTTGTCTTTCTTGCTGTTGTTACATACATGAAACGTAAAGATGTGCAATTTGATAAAATTCTACATTCGCCATGTGGATATCTAACAATTATTCACCAAAACTGAGATGAATCATTGTTAAGTATATACCATGCAGATATTAGCAAAAATTAGCTTTTTTCTGTTAATACACGGAAAATGGTTGAAAGTTAGTCTTGACGTGTGCTTTTGTCTTCAGCTGCTCGGAGCTAAATGCTATTTGCTAATCGCTTCCGCATTAGCTGATAAGATCTTACAAAAAACATAAGGTGTAAAAGCTTGTTGCCTACTGTAAGAATTTGTTTTGTAGTTTGGGGATTTTCGTGTTTTTGCAGTAACAAATTTTGTTTGCTTCAAGATGATTGTAATTTCTTCTGGGAGCTAATTTTTGCGATTTTCTTCTATTCAAGCATTACGACATCAACAAGAAATGAAGTGCTAGGTTAATTTGTGATTTTTATTACTTGTTGAGCTACAGCACATTCTGCTTTTTAACAGACATTTCAGTGAATCCTATAAAATCTCGGGTAACACTTTACTGTCCTAAAGGACTAACACAACAACAAAATCAAACAAAATGCCTACCCCTACCCCATTCCCCACATACTCCTCTGAAAAATTTTTCTCTTGGGGAGGGTGGGGAGGGTTAACAAATTATACTGGGCTTTGAAAATCCGCGAAATCTATAGCTTGAAAGATTTTTATGCCACAGTAATACTGAAAGCCTGCCTATTCCCCCAGACACATCCACACACAAACCATTGGATCCACAATTTTATCATCACGCTGAACATTTTCCTTGGTTCTGTTTCATTTTTCTTGTTTCAGAGATTACTGCAAGACCTGGTACCAACTTCTTGTAGCCAAACTGTTATACTGTAACCCAGCAATCAAGTCTTTTGATTTACAGTACCACACACAGGTAAACTGCTGTGCTTAGTTGTTCAAGGCGCCGAACTGCCGTGCGAGAGGTCGAGGGTTCAAGCCCCAGACCAGACCAACACTCAAGGTCTTAAAATAACTTAGGAGAATGTGTTGCCTTTGGTATGACACCCACAAATGGTTAGACGTTGTGGTCTTAATGGTTAAAGACAATAAACCGTAGGCCCCGTCTCCTGCATCTTTTCTGTACTTGTTAGCAGGGGACGCTAAGAAACCCATGCACTTCTCGCAAAGAGTAGGGAACGTAGATCTCGGTGTATACACTTTAAATCTGAATTGGGTTAGCCTATGTAAATAACGAAAAGAAATACGAATATCTGGTGGATCAGTGTGAACAAAACGTATTGTGCTATCCACCCGTCGAACAATGAGGGCTTAAAATATAAGTTACCGCTACAACCTACGCATTGGCGGATCCATGGAAGGGGTTGAGGGGATTGCAACCCCCCCCTCCCCCCTTTGAGCAGCATCTCTTTTCTGTTATTTTGTTTGATTCTTCCTAAAATAATAAATGAAATGGCTTTTTTACGAAGTTGTTTCACTTCCATCGGACCCCCTTAGGAGCTCGCGCCAGAGGAACGGGGCCGTCACTCGCCCTCCACACCATTGGCGTTGAAGGTTACTTCAATAGTGTACGACCCCCCCCCCCCCGAAATTCCCGGATCCGCCCCTGAACGTTCTCCTTTATTTCAGTTCGTAAAGTATCACTTTTAGTTGTAACTAGAAATCAAATGATGTTCACTGTTGTGCATGGTCAATTCTGACCATTTGATCAACTACAAGAAATCTATTCAAAGAAGAGAGTTACATATGTACTGGCAGGATATAACGTAATCCACCTATAAAGAGGTACAAATATCATCAATTTTTTTTTTAACTATAGATGTAGAAATTGGGCTGTAAAAGTTTTAAGATTGCACTATGCGTCAAAAAACAGTCAAAGGAAAACTCTAATTTCATCTCAGCATATCTTGCAGCAACTTTTGATTGGGCCTTTAACAAACAGTGTATGATTAATTAATAGATAATTATCATTTCGGGAAAAAATCAACGAAATATGATTGTTGCATTCACAAAAGAATCGTCCTCATTAAGTTGACGGCAACAAGTCCATGCAAAAACGCTACATTATTTGAATTGTTAGGAAATTGCGAGGATGGCAACGCTGTCCAGCCTTGCAAATACTATATATATTTGACCTACTAGTTCTGACAACATTTGACAGCTTTGTCTCACTGCTGGTCGCTATTATAAGTCTGTTTCACGAGAGGCTAAATCGTGGCAGACCCTTCAGCTGACGGGATCTTTGAACGCTGGTCTTGCCTCCTTTCGATACTGAGCAGCGCGACATCTGCTTTGCTTCTTCGAGCTCCTGACCAAAAAAAATTACATGAATGATGCAAAGACATTTTAAAGACACTGCTTCTATTTCATGACCGCCAGGCATGGCCTAAATAACTGCAGTGATGAAAGAATATACTGAGTGAATAGTGGCTGTAAAAACTTGAAATATGTCATGTGTTTTAATAGGCGGCTGATACTGAATTTTATCGACAGGTGCGAACCAGTGGAGCTAGCTAAATGAAGTTTATTTGTAAAATAATGAAGTCGATGTTTTCTCACGGTTTTTTTCTTTGTCGGAGGGAAACTTACAGAGTGGTAACAAAACAACGTACATAACTGTTACTTACTCTAAGGCGCTTCTGGAACAAGCAAAGGGTTTCGTACGTATGTCCAATGGTCAGATTCTCAGGAAACGTAGACTGAGTGAATTTTACCAGGGATTCC